TTTAGGGTTTAGGGGTTTGCGTTTAGGGTTTAGGGTTTAGGGCCGGCGACCTGGGTTTTCATGGGCCTTCGGATGCCTTTAACCGTGAACAGCCACGCCATCCAGCTCAATCTGCTGCAGGTTCCCGCCGCCCTCGCGCTTTGCTTCACGAGAAAGCGCGGTGCTCCATTTGGTCATGTCGCCCGCGTTTCGTTTCAAAGATGGGGTGTCACGCTGACGGAGTTATGGACTTGCAAGGCCCTGAGCCAACCCAGTTACTCAAACTTTTGGTGGTCAGAAACGACTCGCGTGCTCCCCGATACTTTCTGAAGAAGATGACCGGCCCGCCGAGAGTTTCGGCGCAGGGGTCCAAGGCTAATACTATGATATATACTATAAACTGTACATACTGTATATACTCTATGTACTATATGTACTGTATACTTTATATACTCTCTTTTATATATAGACTTTATACTATATACCATAAACTATATGCGATGTACTATATGCTATATGCTTTATACTATATACTATTTACGATACATACTATACACTTTAACATGCTACATTCTATGGAAATTGCAACATTATATTTATAGCACATGGCTCAGAGCCTGCGCAACTCAGTTTACCGCACCCTGATCCCTACAGTTTTCTGGTTTCGTTATTTGATGCTTTGCCTGGCACCTGAACCAGGGTTTCGAGGGAACCAGGCATGTTTCATACAGCAAGTGCTCAATTTTCTTTCGCAGTTGTATTGCGTGGAACCGGGGTTCTCGCGATCTGTCTGCTGGTTTCCGCTTGCTGTCATGATGGGGGTTCTCCCCGGCTACTGTAGGTATCCCTTTCTGGTGTCGTTACGGGCGGATCCGTGCACCCTAAACCCTAAGCCCTAAACCCTAAACCATTGAGCCCTAAACCCTAAGCCCTATACCCTTGAACCCCAAGGCTAGGACTCCATGCTTGGCCGAGAGAAGCATAAAGGTGCCCGTGTAGCCCTCATCCACTATTAGGCTTTAGGGAATTTCGGGCCTTTAGGGTTTAGGGTTGTGTCTGCATGTGGGGACTTGGACTTCAAACCCGAAGGACTTGAAGAACCCGGAACGCTAAACTGTGGAGGCCTTAAGAATCAGAGTAGGGCTTGTATAGGCCTTCGAGGCCGTAAGAAATTAGAGTAGGGTTTTGGGCTCCGTGAGAGTTTCACTAAAAGAAGGAACGCTATGGACCCCTCGGTGTTGCGGGCGGGTCATAGACACCGCAATCTCAGTGATTTTAAGCTCCGACTCGTCGAACTGCGTCGTTGGAGGCAAATGGCTCGGAGCGTGGTGGTGTCGGAGCACTTCCGCCCAACAAGCGTTAAGGGCGAAGGGAACCCGACTCGGAACTGTTAAGTCTTTAAGCCCGAGGTTTATGGGAGCCTATAGAAGCCCCATGCACAACCCTAAACCCTAAACCCTAAACCCTGAACCCTAAACACTAAACCCTAAACCCTAAACCTTAATTAATGGAACCCGGGCAGCTCGACTTGGAAAGCCCTAACAACCAATCCGCACCTGAAACCTGGAGGTCTTGAACGCCAAGCCGTCTTAGGGTTTAGGGTTTAGGGTCCAGGGCTTTAGGTTTTAGGGTTTAGGATTTAGGGGGTTGTAGGGTTTAGGGTTCAGGGGGTTTAGGGTTCAGGGTTTCGGTTAGGGCCTAGGCTTCGGGTTTAGGGCTCAGGATGCTATGACTTGGGAAGCTTGAGGCCATAGAGTCCCAAGTGGCACTCCGAGCGCCGACGGGACCTAAGAGTTGCAACTCTTTCGGGTTCTGAATGATTTGCTTGGGGGTTTAGGATGTTTCAGGGTTTCAGGGTTCGGTATTTGAGTTTGAGGGTCTAGGGCTTCGCGTTCAGTTAAGTTAAGTTGCCATAATAAGGGAGCTACAGGCCCTTATCATGGTAACCTACTAAGTCCCCAAACAAGAACCCAGGAAAAGGGCTTTCCCAAACCAAAACCCTAGACCTTAAACCCTAAACCCTAAGACTTAGACCCTAAACCTTAAGACTTAGACCCAAAACCTTAAGACTTAGACCCTAAACCCTACAAGCCCTAAACCCAAAGGGCATTCCCAAACCTGAAGCTGGACTCTAGGCCCTGAGCTGCAAGCCCTGGAGCCCCGACCTGAACCTCTGGGGTTTCAGGGTTTTGGGGCTTAGGGTTTGGGGTTTAGGGTTTAGGGTTTAGGGTTGGGGGTTTGGGTTTGGAGTTGAGGGTTTAGGGTTTTAGGGTTTAGGGTTTGGGCTTTAGGGTTTAGGGTTTAGGGACCTAACCCAAGTCATAGGACCCCTAAACGGTGAAGCTCAAACTGCAGACCTTCAACCCCGTCAGCTTAACAGTGTTGAGCAGTAGACTTTAGACCTGGAGTCCTCAATTCCGAAGCCCTTCCGCGCGACATCCCACCCTAAACCCTAAACCCTAAACCCTAAACCCTCAACCCACATGGGGTGGTCGAGCATCTGTTCCTGAACGGGGGCGTCTCGAGCTCCTGGGTTGGCTGTTCCATGTTTCTGGCGCCATTCCAAAGGGAGTTCCATGGCTAAAATGAGCTAAATCTTAAGCCTTAAACCCTGAAATCTGAAGCCTTAAACCCTGTGCCGGAAGGTCTCGCTGAGCTACATGACCGATCCTGAAGAGGAGCTGGAAGCAAACGGGGTGAGCTGGGCTGATGGGCGTTCCAGGAGTTTCCGGGTTGCGATGTCGGGAGCCTGCATCCAAGACCTCTAAATCCTGAACTGCCAGCGACACCAACAAGCTCTTAACTGTAGCAATGTATATGTATATGAGTATATGTATATGTATATATGTATATGTATATATGTATATGTATATATATATATACATACATATATATACACATATCTTGATGAGATATATATATATATATATACATATATCTATGTATTCCCATGTTTAACAACGCGGGAGTGTACAACTGTACCCCCCAGATGTGAGTCGTGAAAGTCCATGCGGTGTGCAATGCTACTCTGCTAGCTTGTTTTTGCTAGCTTTGTTACCACCGGTACTCTACTAGTTCTGTCGCCTCCCCCTGCTGCCGCCGGTTCCATTACGGCTACGACGACCACGGCCACGACCACGACCGGCTGCTCCCACTGCTGCTGCTGCTGCTTCTGCGAGGGTAGCCTTCTATAGGAGAGGAAAACACGTATCTTTATCGTGTCGACGAAGCCCTGACAGAGGTACCACTCCCCTGGACTCGGCTAAGACTCTAAGACAGTTGGGAATGAGACCAAACAGGAGGCTTCCCGAACCCCCAGACCCCAAACCCCAGACCTGGACCCAAAATAGGAGACTTCACAGAAGCTGGAGAGCAGCCTTTCGAGGCGGGGAGTTCAGGTTTCGCGATGGTTCAGTCTTAGACCAGGGGTAAAGGCCGCTGCATTTAGGATAGCAGAGTGTGAATTCCTAGCAGCTTCTTGTTTGAAAAACTTCGTGCCCACGCATCGACGCACAGATCGCAAAGGCCGTTTGGCTTCAAGCTCAAGCCCCCTGGGAAGACCATGGCCATGGAGGGACTGCTGTCCTCATCGCTGGCATGCAGCCGGCCCAAACTGGGTGAGGCCGAGGGCTTCAAAAGAGCCTGGGACGAGTTGGAAGCTTACGTCAGAGCGAGGCCAGTCCTAACAGACCAGCACCTTTCCTCGTACCACGCAGACGGATGCTGCCTGGTGCGCCTGGGCGGGAAAATCGTGGAAGCAGATGCTTGCCACAAGACAACGCCATCACAACGGCGTGCAGGGCAGGCTGATCTTGACACTTTGGCCGACTTGGCCCTCCTTGCCGTAGCCCGCGAGTTGGTCATTCTCCGTCCTCACGAAGTCTGCAACGTCCAAAGTTTCCAAGAGCTGTACGGTGGAAGACTCATTTCGGTCGGCTCCTCATTCAGGTTAGAGTTTGCATGTGGCAGAGTCGATCTCAGCCTTCGGTTTAGCTAGTTGTCGTGTGCGTCCGCGCGCCGCTGAGGACATAATCCCCGAAGCACATCATGTCGACTTCAATGGCACCGAGTGTCGGAGAGATCACACGAAGGAGCCCCACATTCAACTTGAACATTCCATGTGGCCAGTGGCATATACGGATACGGTAGTCAGGCTTCAGGCTACCCACCCCTTCCCGCAACGAGGCAGAAGGTCACCCACCCCACCCCACCTCTGTTGACAGGTGGGTTTATGCGGTGCTTTGGTTGCTAGGCTGTCCATCGTGCTTGAAATCGACGTGGGATCGTGGGATCGGAGTGGTTGGACTTAGTCTTGCAACTTTCAAGTCGCAGATTTCTCACGTCGTTCACATCTGCTTGTAACTCATGCTGGAGTATGGGCCACGAAGGCCCATTAACCCCAACCTACGTGAGCCTCTGTCTAATCTGGCTGCACTGCACTTGCGGCTGGCAGGAACAGCCACCGATGCGCCTCCACGTTGATGACTGTGACCACGGGTGCTCACCGGCTGTCCAGCTGCTTCTGGGAATCAAGAATGCAGCTTGGATGAGCGGCAAGCGAATGTTTTAGATTCGGGGGAGAGAGTTCTGGGTTAAAGCAGAGATCAGACATTTTTAAGCAATGCCAGGTGAACCAGACGCCCACAACAGTGGCCCTGGTTCCGAAGGAAGAAGAGCTTCTAGCGGCGGGCATCCGGGTGGATCTGCTCCGAGAGCCGCTCTACCAGCACCAGCCGCCGACCCTTGGTTGCAATGGTTTTGGGTTTAGGGTTTAGGGTTTAGGGTTGCAATAGTTTTTTTGTGTGGACTGGGCCGGAGTGTCCCTTTGTAGTGTTGCAAACTTGAGCCAAGGAGCATCACCGCTACGTCTGCTGTTCCACTCAGGCCCGTCCTTTATGGGGCAAAGGAGAGGCCAAGAATCCAAGCAGACGTGAAGTCGACGCGGGGCATTAGACAAGACGCCGCCGAGGTCGCGGACTTAGTGTATGAAGACCCTGCAGCACAGATGATGAACCGCTGCAAGAGTGAACCCTGCAGGCTTGGGAGGACCTGCACAGATTCCTCCAGAAAAAGACGCGCTTCTTTGCTGCAACATGCGTCCCAACAGGGCAGCTGATGGTAGCAACACTTTGGGCAGCACTCCGGAGAAGTTCTCATCAGTCAGATGATGTGGGGACTTGAGCCGATTCCGAGTATACCGTATGCTGTATCATATGCAGATTCATTCTGTTCTGAGGCTTCGTTGCTTTGGCGCCAGGAGACGTGCTCGTGGCTTGAGCTGATTTGTGAATTCAGGGCATCGTTTGCCATAGTCACAAGCATAGAAGCACACACGGCTTTGCAGTCAACTCAGAGCTTAGGGAGCCATGTTTCGAGAGGGAGGCGCTAATGCAGCCTGCAATCTGGGATGACTTCCACAGCATCACGACCCTGAACCCTGAAACGTTTTTGCTAAGGTTCTTGACAATACACGAGTGCTTCACGGACGGGGAAGCCTGCAGCCAGTGGAAGACTCCGCGAACCGCCGCACCCTGGTTGGGCTTTCGTAGTCTTCGGTGCTTGACGGTTGTGGATGTGCCTGTCATTTCCCAGCCCAGGATGGGTCAAACGATTGTGGTTGACAGGCACTGCGACTGAGAAAACACTGGCGACATGTCACAATCCTCTTCAACGACATCCACGACGCTTGGCTGCATTGTCATGAGCAACGGCCCCATGCAGCTCAAAGCTGCGGATTTGGAGTCTTCACGCTTAAGGCGTGTTCAGTCGGCAATTGGCCTACGACCGGACAAAACCCATGCTGAATCCCATGGAGCACTTCTGAGATTAATTTGCAACTGCTACAGCTTTTAGTTTTTTATGCAAGATGGTCAATGCAGGAATTGCGTACAATGCGCAAGAGTTGCGATGAAATACTCTGATGATTCGCAGATGGAGTGGCTTTCCAAGCGCGGAAAATGTAGGCGATTGGTCCGAATCCACCAAGGATTGAGAGGCCAGGCAAGCCTGAGATTTGGAAGAGATGACTTTCAAACTTGCAGGGGAGCTCTTCGTACCTTGTGCTAATCTGCGGCAGTGAGCTGGCTCTGATGTGTTGTTTGCAATGTACCAGGAGCTTATGCAGAGAGGCAGGAAGTTTAGGAAGGGTAGTTATCAGCTGTTCCGTCCACTAGGTTGAGAATCTGAGGTTCCATCTTACGAGACACAATCATGTAGTTTAGTAGTTTTGCAATTGTAGTTTCCTAGATGGTACCTGGCCAGAAAGACAAGCAAGAGATCTATGAATCTATGCGCATATATAAAGCCGCTGTGAACATGTCCGGTTCAGCATGTATGGCACTAGATCTGTTGGCAGTACGTGCTCCTGAAACCCACCTTCACCCTAAATATACTAGTCACTAGTCTGACATCCGCACTGCCAGGTAGCAGAGAAGCTCCCTTGATAACAGTAGTCGGGATCTTGCCGCCAGCCATGGGAAAGCGCCGCTGCCGCCCGCCCTGGGCCAAAGAGAGCAGCAGGTATCTCCGCGTGGGCATGAGGGATGAGGTTTAAGGTGTTGTTGTACCAGGATTTTGGAGGCACTTGCGATACCACGTGTCAGAGGAGCCCGATGTGCAGGGTGAGCCTGGTGACCAGCCTGGTGCATAGTTTTCGGCATCATCCAACAGTCTCCTAGTAGAACTAGGGCCCCCCCCATTTTCAATTCTGTCAAACCTATTTCAAGATGTATCCGTCCTGTGACCGAATGCTCGAAGAGTCCCACCAAGCCTGGGATCAGGGGGGCGTTGCCTGGCGAGTGCCTGGACCAGACCAGCGCAGATGGGCGCTTCCCCACAGGCGGGTGTGGTTGTGAGAACGCGGGTTGTTGTACTCGTACGCTTGATGCTTCACGCCCGAAACGTTGAGAACCCCTCCCCAATCACACGATCCTCTTACAGCCGTTGGGCGGTGAAGCTCTCGTCGGAAAATTTTCGATTCATGCTGCGACCTCCTGATGCTCGGTTGGCCTTTCCCTAAACCCTAAACCCCTAGAGCCCTAAACCTTAAACCCTAAACCCTAAACCCCTAAAGCCCTAAACTTGGTGCCTCGCTGGACCCTCAAACGGCCTTGCACCCACCGCAGCCCCAAGGAGCCGGGTGCTCGGCAAAAGAATCTTTCAAGCACTGTGAGCCGTCCGAACGGTTTAGGGTTTAGGGTTCAGGATTTAGGGTTTAGGGTTTAGGGTTGTGAGCCCTCCGAACAGTGGACAAACTTAGAGATGCCCATACATGATATACCATCAACGCATGTTGTGTTTACTCATGCATGTGTGCATTGTAAGTAATTGCCTTATGTACTATGTTAACCTGTGTTATGTTGGCATGCTTGATTATGTGCTTGTTTGTTTCTGTGATTTTTTGTGCATGCACGCATGAAAGGCCGGGAAAAGGCAGGCTAGGAAGGCAAGCAGGCAAGCACAGGCAGCGAGGTAGCTCGGTATGCAAGGCCGGTCTGCAGAGGCTGACGAGTCGGAATTTGTGGTGAGCGTAGGCTATGGTTCCTTTATGATGTAAAGGACCTTGAAGTCTTCAGAACGTTGGTCACTCTAGTCCAACAGTTCAGGCAGCTGTTTTCACGATATTTGGCTTGGACTTGCTCGGTCTGGCCTTGAGGATTAAACTTGGAATCAGCCAGAAGCCGAAGCACGGACAGTTCTCCGTACAGGCACGACGGTGCAAAAAGAGCAGCAGCTTGGCCTGATGTTTGCATGCATCGAGGCGTTTTTCTTCGGGCAGTCGTGGCACAGATTTGGATTTTTTGAGGATCAGGTTGGGATCACCCTACTTCGCAGCTAACGGAGTAGGGTTACCTTAGAGTATGTGGAGCACCATCCCATGTAGAGTTGCTGCTTCTGAGCGGGAAGACGTCCCTACACCCTCGACTGACTCCCTAAGCCCCGCAAATCCCGAAAGCATTGCGCCGCCAAGCGCCAGATTTGCAAGCTGCGAGGTTCGTCTACGTCCCACACATCGATACGGCAGCCGCTGGATTTTTCAAGGGATCGGCTTTGCGACAGCAGAAGGCCCACTTCAAGGTTTATGGAGCAGAGGGTTTCGGGCTTGCGGGGATTATGAAAGAAAATTAGGGGCAGACGCTATCCGGCCTAGGACAGGTTCTATATGATAAGCTCTCGGGCCGGGTCGGTAGGTCGATTTTTGGGACTTCTTACCGTCGTAAACTCCTGTTGCAGGGGTGCCTCAAAGCGATGTGCGGGAGCCACGATTTAGATTGTCCTCCATAAACCCTAAACCCTAAACCAGACGGAAGAGTCGCGGACATTGACATGGTCGCGAAGCCAGATACGAAGCCTCTTCCCGTGAGGTTCAATGGTATCTCTAAGCTTCAAGCCTTCAGTCCGACATCTAGGGTTGAGGGTTTGGGGGTTTAGGGTTTAGGAGTTTAGGGGTTTAGGGGTTTAGGGTTAAGGGTTTAGGGATCCAAACCCTCGACCTCACGACCTGGTATGCTAATTTTTCTGCTTCGGAGCGTGCTGCGAGTGGGAAGGACCAGGTGCCATTCTCGCTCTTCGAGTGGGCCGATCCTCAAAAACAGAAACAGGACCCTTCAGGATTGAATGCTTCGGATTGGGCAAAAATCCTTACATGCTTCTGAGCTCTAATGCCACGAAATCCTGGGGTCTGTTGTGAAAGCATGGGCGTGATACTCTTCAACATGATGCCTTGACCAGATGTCCTAGGGCAGGAGCATGAGTTGTAAGTAACATACGGCGGCGCCCCAGCAGATAGAATATTTTTTGGGAAACGGCGGTTTGGGGTTTGGGAAAATTTTTTGGGAAAAATTTTGGGAAACGGGGACAGATAGAATATTTTCCG